CTGAGGAACCCAGGTGAGATAGGAGAGCCCTTCACCCTTCCATGAGGCTCTGGGTCCCCTGGATTTGGTCTCCGTTGGTGACCTCTCTTTTCTATTCTCCTCCCTTAGCTTGACAGCTCCTCTCAGAGGGGTCCTCACATTTCACTGCTGTCTCTTCCAGTGGTCCACAATTGTTCTCCGCTCTCCTCAGCCCAACCCCCTACTCTTCAGTACAGGATCTGATGAACGGTGTCTCTAATCAGCCATCCTGTTGGTCTCTCAGTGTAAACTGTTAAATTTGTAATGATGTACTTTATGTTTTCCCTCTAAGCCAGACACGTCAGGTTTGATAGTCTCTTGGCTTCCTCCTGTATGTGACACATCCTGTCCTTTCTAGGCATTTACTTTGGAAGTTGTGTGAAGCTGCTCAGTCTGCATGTCCCGTGTTTGATGCAGTGGCTGCTTGTGTTGCAGATTCTCTCTGGTATGAGCACAGACATTAGGCTCCTCCAGGATCCTCTATTGGTGTTTCCCACCAGGCTTTTTATTTACCTTATGTTTTCTTGGAGACAGTGTATTTTTTTCTCTCCCAGGCACATTCTAGTTTTAATTTTACCTGCCAGTTGTACACACGGTAGAAGGGCATTGCTTGGGTAGGCAGTCCTTGACCTTCACACTGAGACATATTTCTAGACTGGGATCATGACCCTTGGTCTGAAAGGGCCTTCCATGGTCCCATGGTCTCCCATGTCCATCTCGCCTCTAGAGATGATGCTGGTCTGCCTGTGCTTCCCTCTTATGCTATTGTAAAGTGTCTTTTTGATTTTCCACAAATCATCTCTGCCATGGCCTAGGTATGTCTACTTCAATCTTCTCAGCTGATAAATTTCCTGTGGCTTGAGGTTTGTGATCTGCATGATGGAGAACAACTATAGTTCTGAATGTAACCCTCATCAGGAACACTGCCCCACCAGTTTGGTGGCATTGCTCAAGTGTCTCTAAGATTTCAGGTTTGTTGTTTCTCATACAACATCTTTGCTTTGAAGATTAATTCTGTAGTTCTGTGTTTGTCATGGGGAAGGTGGGCCTGGATGCATCTCAGAAATATGAACGAATTTTGTCTCATGCTAACATCTGTGAGGAAGCATTTTGTCATATGTCCCCAACACTGCAGCAAAAGGCTTCAAGGGAAATAAAATAGCAGCACCACAACTTGATAACCACTAGGAAGTTCAAAGGATCCAACCCTGACTATACTCAGGTTCATAGGATCCAGTACCTGCTTCTATAAACAGCCCAATCCATTCCTGTCCTATGTGCCTCCTGCTGGCCGCTTCCTAAGATGGACCAATATTCTGGGCCTGCTTCTCCCTGGAAGCTCTGGTTTCCCCCCATTTCCACC